TCTTTAAACATCTTTCTGTTTTACATAATATGTACAAAATTTGTTAATATTATGTAAAACTGAAAGACGTTTAAAGTTCCAATGTCTCGCTTTTTAAGCTGAGAGAGGATCGTAATTGTCAGGATAATCTAGATCGTTTAATGATTTATCGTAGTTGTTGTCAGTGATTAAAGAAATGTGATTTTGAAATAAACGCCGCCCTTCTACAAACGCTACATAGGAAACGCTTGAAATTTGATAAACGCCGCGGCTTTAAATCGAATAAATGCGAATAAGTGCCTACTTATACCAGGGAAATAATGTAGCGGCTCGGATACAAGGGACTTTGAAGTACCGTCCCTTTTTTACTCGGTGCATTACCAGACTTGTACGTGTAAACAGTCGGATTTCGTCTTGAACGGCTGCTTATTTCTTCCCGACCAGTTCCGTCTCTTTTGACGCGTTTAAAGTCCATTAATCGTAGTCTCAGGCACATAAAAATAATGTATTTTTAACCTCCTTCAAGAGGATACCTCTTTTTAGGAGATACATTTTGTGCTCCCAAGGGTTTCCAATTACGGGAGGTTTGACAGCACCATAACCCAAAACAACATTAGCGGTTAAAGTAAATATGACTCGCCACACGTTCCATATTTTTAATTTTCCACGAGGACTCAAACTTGAAAATGAGACACGAGCGGCTGAAACACTGTTGGCTTTCATCGATAACTTATATCAATTAAATTTCACCTCTAGGTTTTGAAAATGGCTGCTGCTAATAAAGGTCCCAAGAAACGAACCAAACAGCTAAACATATCCACTATCATCAGCGGTGATGGACGACCAATCAGATTAGGACGTGTACAGGAAGGAGGCCGAAGCTCAGCTGCCCTACCCACCAGCCCTGTTACTGACCCGCACTCTGACAGTGACTCTGATGAAGGTAACATGCCTACTCGGATATTCGTTTTGTGGTTGCGTGGAACTGGGTCGGTGTTGTGTCGAATTGCACTATGGGACTGTTTAGGGGACGAAATTTGGTCCAGTTTCCCACGCAACCTTTAACAGCCAATTGAAGAAGAGCTACGTCCCCAAAATAGTACCATAGTGCAATTTGGTACAACACCGACCCAGTCGCACCCGAAACCTCCAAATGGCCAATTGCCAAGTTTGACACCTCAGAATGAACATATCTCGCAACGGTTTTGTTGAAACGAGCGTTGCACCAATGGCCAATCGGTGCAACCTTCGTCATACCTGAGAGGTTGCGCGTGACATTGATCTTGAAAACTCGATATTTCACAGAGATTTTTTGGGCTCTTTAGTACTTGTCCATTTTCTGATCGCTAATATTTCCTTATAGTTACGACACGCAGAGAGCTGAATAAAGGCTACTTAGATTAACAGGCTCTTTCAGTCGTAGAAGTCAAATTTTATTTACCATTTGCCTTTTCTATGAAATCCTTATGCGGGTGAAGCAAAATGTAAACAATGACGTCAGCGTCCCTTATTGGCTGCAAAATTCTCGAGCTATGGGTTACACAGCTGCACTCGCTTTAAATTCTAAAATTTTCATAGCATCATATTTCCTTTTGACTGGCGAGACGCTTCGTCCTTATTATATATTACAATATTTTTTTGCTGAAACATCAAAGTTAATTTAACTCGCAACACTCATCTGTTGTTTTATTCTGCTCTGTAGAAATGGGTGGACAAGATACTTTTGACTTCCCACCCAAGTCGGATCCTGTGGAGCTAACAGCTACAGCGGTGCGTAACTTGTGTCTTTTATGATATCGCTACAGTTGATGTACCCCCCTTCCCCCCCACCCCGCCAAAAGGACAACAAATATTAGTCAAGAAGACGGGATGTGTTGGTGTAAATAAGAAAAATGTTGAATGGCATTGGAAAGTTAAGCAGTGTATCAACAACAAATGTGTGCAGGAGAGACGGAGATGTTCTGTTAAATACACTAGAAGATAGCTGAGTTACACACAAGGGTTTCTTTGCTCCTCAAAACAAAATTTCCATCAATATTACCACCATATATGTTAAGTGTATGGGGTAGTCCGCTAAAATTTGCATCCCGGCTTTACTAATATCCACAATAAATACACTTCCACATTCAGCGATAGCATGTAATGTATCAGACTTCCAAAAGCTGCAGGGCGCAAGACTGTGCTCTAAGGAAAATTTTCAAGCATTTTAGCTGGGGTGCCCAGGCCTAAAGATGGTCGCCCAAATGAAATTTTAGTTAGGGTACCCAGGCCTCCAGGTTGGTCGCCCAAGTTAATAAATCAGTGCGTTGTTAGTTGATTATTTTCTAAACAAGTCAAGCAAGGAACATATGAGACACAGGGGACACGAGAGGGGCAGGGAACACAGGGGACACAAGGAGACACAGGGGGAACAAGGGACACAGAGGACACAAGGGACACAGGGGACATGGGACACAAGGAGACACAGGGGACACAATGGACACAGCGGAAAAAAGGGGATACAGGGGACACAAGGAACACAAGGGGACACAGGGGACACAGGGGACACAAGGGACACAGGAGACACAAGGGACACAGGGGACACAAGGAACACAACGGAACACTGGGGACATAGGGGACAGGTGTGACACAAGGGACACAGGGGACATGGGACACAAGGGGACACAGGGGGCACAATGGACACAGGAGACAAAAGGGGACACAGAGGACACAAGGGGACACAAGGAACACAAGAGAACACAAGGGACACAGTAGACACAAGGAACACAAGGGGACACAGGTGACAAAAGGGACACAGAGGACACAGGGGACATAAGGGGACACAGGACAGAGGACACAAGGGACTCAGGGGACACAGAGGACACAAGGGAACACAGGGGACAAGGGCCACAGGGGAGACAAGGGGACACATGGAACACAAGGAGACACAGGGGACACAAGGGGACAAAAGGGACACAGGGGACATGAGGGGACACAAGGGACAGAGAGGACACAGGGGACACGGGACACAAGGAACACAGGACACAAGGGGACACAGGGGACACAAGGGGATGTAGGGGACACAGGTGACAAAAGGAACACAGAGGGGACATAAGGGGACACAAGGGGACATAAGGGACACAGGACAGAGGACACAAGGGACTCAGGGGACACAGAGGACACAAGGGAACAGAGGGGAGACAAGGGAGACAAGGGGACACATGGGACACAAGGAGACACAGGGGACGCAAGGGGACAAAAGGGACAGGGGAGATGAGGGGACACAAGGGACAGAGAGGACATAGGGGACACGGGACACAAGGAACACAGGACACAAGGGGATGTAGGGGACACAGGGGACACAGAGGACACAGGGGACTCGGGACACAGGGAACATGGGACACAAGAGATAGAGGAGACAGTAATTAAGATTGTGGTCAGTTTAGGTAATTTTTGATAAAAAAATGTTTGTGTCAAAAAATAAGGACACTATTCTTTTTACTCATCACACGAGGTGAATTTGCTTGATATTTTATCAACTTCTCCCCACTACTTCCGTAGGAAATGAATAGGGGCAACAAATGAGAATGCAAATTTGGATCCTAGGTTTTAAAGGGTTAAGAGAGAGTTGACTGTATCCTGAAAATTTTAAAACGCTGTGACTGAGGCATTATGCGAGAGGTGGGCTGTGTAGGGTGATGGGCACTTGTCGAATACTAAATTGTACTGCAATTAATTTCAGGTATTAACGCACTTGGTCAATCATCTTGGTCACTATCCCCTTGGCGCTGGTCCGTCGAGAATGGACAGTTTAATCAGCGAACATGAAGATAATCCAAGCGTGGAAGAAAATGAGCTCTTGTCCAGTATTTTGTCTGCTCCTAATGTGCAGGTCGGTTCCATATCTGCTGCTGACAATTCTTATTTTTCTTCCTCTTCTTCACTCCAAGGTATTCTTACTTGATTTGTTTCGTTCCTTTCAGTTTTTTGCACTCAATGACAGGGTATTGATATCTTTGGTGGAACTTACACTAGAGGTGAGATGCTTAAATTGCCGTTTGGATTGAAATCCTGAACTCTTCTCGACTTCTTCGAGAGCAAGCGACTGGCAAAAAGGTATAGGGGAGAGGAGGGTGGAGCAGAGCGTAGCAGAGAGGGGATGTGTAATCAGTTTTTGAGCCCTGTGCAATGGGTGGGTTGGCGTCTCGATCTCTAGCCGCCTTCGCAAAGTTCCAGCGGTTGTTACTCCTTCGTGACGAGAAAGAACGTCTTACAATGAGGCTAATCCAGGGCCGTCACTGAAGACCCGGAGCTGAGGATTTCGCCCTGCTACTACGAGCATGACCCCTAGCTGCTTTCATAATAAACAAAGGGAAAATGAAAACAAAAGAACCTCCTAGCCGTTCAATTCCCTACCTACTAACTGCTTGTACCCGGCAACTTGAAATCTTACGGAGAGCCCGGCTATCTTAGTGACAACAGATGACTAAAGGTTGATTGCAGGGTCTTTCTCTTTATCCAGGACACACCTGATTCTGTCGTGTACCAGGCCCCCGCAAGCACAGCGGCTACACAAGTTCGAATGATCACTCGGGACATGACGGGTAAAAATGTTTGGGACTTTACGCTATTACACGGGTCTTCTGCTACGCATAATGGACAGTACCAATACACTGGTAAGATAATGTGTGATAGGTTGTTCAAGTTCTTGTTTTGTAGCTAAAATTGGCCATTATTTGTTGTAAGGGCTATGCTTAATATTCTTTAAGCTTCAACTTGGTAGTTATCAAATCAGGAAAGTGAAGAAATTATATTGCTAGCTGTACCACTGAAAACAACAGTCAAAGTCTTGTGACTGCTAGGCCGACACCATAAACCGTTCTTAAATACTTTGTGCCCACTGTACAGCGGTCCATGTGTAGACGTCTTCCTTCTTCCTTTGTTAATCTTACTGACTTTGTTTCCGTAATCAGGAGCAATGTGCCATTTTTGGAAAGGTCACCTGTAAAGTCGGCTTTCTCTCTGTCCTCTCATTTCTTATTTTCTTGACGAAGCTCTTTTGCAGTGGGTGGGTGAAGAGGGCCAATTGCTTGAGGAATTATTTGCACTAATTCACTTATAAACTCACTTTTTGTATAGACTCTTTTACACTCTTATTTCAAGTTACCATAACATCTGACTCAACAGACAAGACAATTTTGTTTGAAATTTAGCGTAGTCCTGAATTAATGTTAACTATCTATCGAGCAGTCGGTGTCAGGATGGTGAAACGAGGCCATACGCATGCAACGAGCCGACTGGCTTCTTGAAGGAGGCCACATTAGCTCTTTACCACCCTTGTGTTATTCATGTTCAGTTTCTGATATTTGATAAACCGCATTTTGTGGTCTATGTCGATTTATCTGTCATCCCTCTTTTTCCCGAAAAGAAGCAACAAATAACCATTCAATTGAAGAATTGATCGATGAAGAAGATACAAGCCGTAGTAAATATCATCCACTCATAAAAGCCAGGAAATGTTCAACACCTGTTCCTGATGATAGACTCGATGAGGTGAGCCTTTCATGTCTTTGTTTCTGTGTTATTGTGAGTAAGTAAGTGTTAATTTAGCACCGTTCCATGCGGCTCCTACTGGAGACGGAACCACCATTTGTATGTTGTCAATCGAACCACGCAGAAGTAAAGCTGTTTTCTGGGCAAAGGTAGCTCCTTCTTCCTCGGTTGTTTTTAGACTCCGAGTATTGGCGACCCCGGGAATTGCGCCCGCCACCTCCTGTTCTGCGGTACAGCGCTCTATCAAACGACTAAGCTAACCGTTTTCCTTTTTCTTCCGTTCTTCCTTCTTTAATGCTACGCTTAGTCCCCTGCTTCCTTAATAGTTATTTTCCCTTATCTCCTTGCCTGCTCACTCCTCCTCTTTATCTTCCTTGTCTTTCCTTTTTCTTATTTTTTATGTTTTAAACTTAAACCACTCTTTTTTGAGGATCCTCAATGGCGAACGTTCCCGGGGATTGTTGACTAATGACCAGGCCCACCTTCAATATCATTTAAAACTGAACCATAGTCATACTAGGGGTTTACTTAAGAATCCAGGAGAATCTCACCGTACGAAATATTGTAAAACAGCGCCTTGAAACAATGGTGAACTTGGAGAAATGTAAGAAATAAGAAACAGCATTTGCTGGAAATAATTTAAATATGGGTCACATTAGAAAACACACCATTTGTTCCTTTTGTATTTGAAGCTCCTGTGGGCAGGGCAGAAAAACCGCTGATTGGTTGCCGTTTTCGCGGCAGTTTGTGCTCTCCGCTGACCATCTTACAACGAATCAAGTAGTCTACAAAAAAGAGCAAAGTTTGAAGCCAAATACATAGTTAACCATGACTAGTTCGGTGATTATGATCTGATATTCCCAAACTAGAACTCATTGACAGGCGATGTCAAGAGTTGTAGCGAAATCAGATTAGGAATACACTTTAGGGTGCTTGCTGAAAATGCGCGGGACAGTGTGTAGTTCATAGAGACATTATACGACCAATAGCTCTTAAACAATTTGCAAAAATAAGAAACAGGTGGAGTATTTAAGGTTCACAATTCGACCAACCAAAAGGCTAAAAGCCAAGAAGCAAAATAAGAAATACGTAAAAAAATCGAACAGTACGTTTTTCTGTGGCTTGCTGTTTTTTGTTTTTGCATCCCCCTCGCGGTGACAACACTCGAACGTAATCGCCGGTGAGAAGCTTCGACAAATGTACAGCCAATCTTACCTCTAAAAGGATCGATCCTCTTGCACTTAGAAGGTAGATAGCAGCGCAAAAATATATTTCCTTGGACAAGTAAAAAAAGGAAAAGATTTGTAAACATCAAACTCTTCGCCAACGGCTTGTGTCCACTTACTGACTGGTAGGCGCCAGCTTCCCGGCCTCATGCTTTGCGCGGGAAATTATGAATGAAACAAGCTTCAAAAATGTCCAAAAATAGTTACCGACCGCTTCACTGTCAAGTTCCGGTCTTTTTGCGTGCGTTTCCGGCGGAAAGAACGTCCAAAGTTGATTAAATAATGGAAAATGTTTGTGAACGTGGCTCCAGATTAAGAAGCGTGTCAGAAAAGTGTTGGGGTGCCACTAATTACTATTCGGGAAAAGAGGCTGTTTTACGTGGCTACTCTAGGCCGGTTTGGCTATGTTTTGGTCATGCAAAAAAATTGCAAGTGGAAAGTCAAAGGAGGTGCTGTTTTCCGAGTGAAAATGCCTGCACGCAAAGGAACAATTTACTGCCATGTCCGCAGAGGATTCTCACCGTGGCAACAAACCTTGAAAACTACCAAGGAGGCGCATTTCTTTGCCCAGGCCACCTAAATCTCGTGGACGAAGCTCCCATATTTACCAACCACGCCCTCTACAAACCCCCTACTACGAGAAAGGTATGTTTCTTTTACACTCAAACAACAGTCAAAATGTACTGAAACAGATCATACATTCTTAGTTTTGTTTTAGAAAATATTCATATTTTGCATTAAATTTTGCCCTATACATTTGTAGACAAAATGTACTACTTCAGTCCTATGTACTACCCCAGAAAAGAAAACAACTTGGAGGGATGGAACCTCTCAGACCGCCCCTTTGCAGAGTGTTAATGAGCTAGCAGAGGCAAAACAATTAATCACCAAATTACAGCGCGAAAAGGCAGCAGTAAAAGAAAGATGCAACAAGCTAGAAGGTATTGTATTGACGTACTCTTAATTTCCACACATTCAAAACAAAGATGACTAGTTTCAACCTTTAATAGAAATATTTTTTTATTAATTTTCAGAGCCAACATTTGATGAGCAGTTCAAAACGTTCCACAAGTGTCTCACTAAACATTACAAGGATGGAGGGCAGCGGCTATACGACCCTGCAGACATGGAAAAATTTGCCAACAAGTGCACCCCTGGATTGTTCGACCGTGCCTTGTGTCTAGTCAAGAATGATGAAAAACAACAGCTTTCTAAGAAAAGACATGAAATACTGAGACTGCGAGTTGTGGCACTGCTTCATCAGCTGTCTTACTTTAGAAACCAAGTGTGTATAATAATAATAAAAAATAAAATATATAATAATACTAATAATGATAATGGTAATGATAATGATAATAATAATAATAGTAATAATAATAATAATAATAATAATAATAATAGCAGGAACCATACTTTAGGAAGACACTTAAATTAAATTAAACACCATGGTGTGTAATAGACATAAGTGTTGCTTGTTTGTTTTCAACAGAAAAACAATCCCTTACAACAAGACTGTGGGTTACACTTGTCCTTTCATGGTGCCAGTGATGACGCTTTGACAGCTGGCTCACTTCTGGGGTTTAGCACTCACCCGAGAAGTGTGCTAAATCATAAAAAAGGATTGTCTGGAAAAAGCATTCACAAGACACAAGCCATCGTTGAGAGTGCCATAAAGGTACATGTATTTACATACTGAAACAATTCATTATTAAACATCTGCCACTGCACAACACCCTGGCCAAAACAATAAGTTGACACAAGGTGAGGTGGCTGGATGTGAAGAAGCAGGGGGGGCTAAATAGAAGGCACAAGGACCTTGTGACAAGGAGACAAAAACAACAAAAATAGAGTGATTTTATTTGAACCGTGAAACAGATAGTAACAAACAGTGCAAAATAGCAAGAGGTAAACAACAGAAGACAATGGAATTAATACATAATAGTGCGTAGTATTCTAAAAAGCTGTTTCACGGTTTAAGTAAAATGACTCTAATTTATCAGTCCATAGATGTACACTGATCCAGTTAAAAATTTCCTCCCCAACAGAGTTTCTTCTTGACTTGTTCATCTCTGTGAGGCAAAACCTTGGAAACTCTGCAAAAATACCCAGAGGACAAAGGAAATATCAGGTAGAATCCAATATCGCTGTAACAACCCATTCCATAACAAAACAAAGCATTTCCTATACAAGATATACCTGAAACAAACCTTTATCTTTTTCCAATGTAGCCTTATTATCTACCCTCTCTTGATGCAACCGTGGACCAAAGAAGCTTCCCCTTAGGGTATGCCTGGAAGGGTCAAGAACCAGACCCACTGTTGGCTTGTGATGCAGCAGATTGCAGAGCAGATGACAATCTCCTACTTGCAGTTCAGCGCTTCAACTGTGGCCACACATTTCACAAAAGTTGTCTTGGTAGTTACTCAAACTGTAACGATCATAACTACTCAATACTGTGTGGTGTCAAGTGCTCCATTTGCTCTGAGCAACTTCCTTTAAGAATCCAAGAACTTGCAGACAGTTTCAACAAAGGTTTACTGGCAGGAAATGATGAAACTGACGGAAGCAATGATAATCATGATGACGACGACGATGATGATGGAAGTGGCAACTCAGATGATGATGACAGTGATGATGATGATAGCAAACCTGATACACTAGCAAATAAGATACTCATTAAAGCAAAACAATCCCTTTTGCATCTTCCACAAAGTGCTTTATTTAAGTACAGCAACAAAAATTCCAAGAATGTAAACTCCACCGACTCTACTGGAGAAGCAGTAATTGTTAATACTAGTATGGTGTGTGTCACATGTGGCAGGGTCTGTAAGAGCAAAGGGGGCTTGACTCAGCATCAGAACACCCACAAAGGGGTAAATAGTTAAGTGTTTCCCTGAAATGAGAATAACAAAACAATAATCATTTCCTTTTTTAGAAGCAAATCCAAACAAATAATACAAGCCCTTTGTTTCATGTAAAATACCTTGAATAGGAATAGGCATGATAACACAGGAGAGAAACCTTGAACAATGCCTTTGTTGTTGCCTTTGTCTTGCTATAGGTATCTCAAAATAATGCAACTAGCTAGATAACAAATAAGTGATCTTGTGCTTGTGCTTGCATTTGGAATTTGGTCCATACAATATTATATGAGATCTTTGCATTATAGAAGATTAACTCAGCCCAAGTACTATGCCAGTGAGAAAAATATAGTGATAGTCCTGTCGAGAATACTAATAAGGGACAATGTGATGTACAGGAGTAAGATAGTGTCTTCAAAATATTCGATGTTATTTTGAACATGTAAATATAATAAGATTTTCACTTCAAAATACCACATTGTATATGAGCAAGGATTGTGTATAACTCTGCTAATTCTGGATACATGTAAGCTTAAAAATTCATCCTTAAAATTTCACCTTTCTTAAAACAACCTAATTTTGTACAGTAAAATCATTCCAAATCTAAATCAGTCCAAAAACAAAGTTATTAACTGTATAAATCAGTTGGTATAAATTGATCTAAAGAAATTACAAATTGGACAACGCGTACAAAAAAATAATTTCGCTTCTAGCGGAACAATGTAAACAATTCACACCAAGGAATTCATTGAACAGTGTGGATATATATAACCTAGAATCAAAAGCCCATTAAACTTGTAACTCAGGGTGCTATGAAGTGCTATTTTGTTTGAAAGTTTGGTTACTTTTAGCAATGGCTTCGCCAACTGTTAGGTGCCGCATTATACGCCTGCACGCAGCGCACGCTGCACCGCCGCAATCTCGTGGAGGATAAATAGCATTCAATGCAAATTTCGGTTAACTCATTAACTCTGAAAACGTTCACTATGTCAAAGACGAAAAATGTCTTACCTTTAAACTCAGTTGTGTAACTATCGGATCACCGAGACTTGTTGCAGGAAAACCAAACAATCGCGTAGAAGAAAGTTGATCGAAAAAAGCACATGGTTTGCTTGGCACGACTCCGTCCGTTTAACGTAATACAATCACAAAGATTACCTCCAAGGCGAAGCAAAACAAAATGATACCATTATATACAAGACCTTTCAGTGATGTATTTCAACACAGTGCTCTTCAAATTTCCGCCAAATGTCTCACATTCATGATCGCTCGATTGTAGCTCCTTCGGATCGCTCATTCTTTTGAACCAACAGCATCTGCATGTGGTCAGCGGAAGGCGCAAGCGCATGCTCTCGGTGGAATTTTTTTTAACCAATCAGCGGTTTTTCTGCCCTGCCGCTCCTGTGTAGTATTGGATCCTCTAGCCACGAGTGTCTATTGCACCCAGACCTCTCTCTAAATGAACCCGGCCCCAACCCCGAGGGTGTGTTGGGAGACATGGAATTTGACGTCATTGACGCTGTCCTAGAACAAAACTTCAGCGAAAAAAGACGTATGGAGAACGATGTTAATGAACCGAGGTTCGTACTTTTCACCTAAAGCTTAGTCGTTATTTAGTTGATATCTTAGGACTGCTACTCTGCTACACAGCCGTTCTTTGTTTCGTCACGCAACGCTCCTCTCCCTCCTCTTCCTCCTGTGAGAAGGAGCGCACCGTGAGGAGACAAGGAACGGCTTTGTAACAGACTGTAGGACTGCTGAACCGGGAACAATTAGCCCGCAGACAAGCTCTCCATTTGGGTTATTGTGAAAAGTCACGCGGGGGCGGCGTCACGCGAAAGGAGACTCGAGGGAGGGGTGAGAAAAAGAAGGGGGCTGTCCATTCCCTCACCCTTCGCGGTTTTGCTGCTCGCTTGCGCGAACTTTCGCAGCGCGCTTCGCTTGCCTTTCGAAATGGAGAGCTTGCTCGCAGGCTACGGATTAATTAGAGCAATTTATAATTTGCGAGAATAATTTTAATTTCTGTTTGTTTTGTAGTTTATCGTCGCTTGCAGCTTCTCCTCCCCCATATGAAGTTCCTATGTCACCATTCCAGTTGTGCCGGTTTGTAGTTAGTCAGACTGGTTTGATAGCTTCAGAAAAAAGGTGAGAAAATTAAGAGCCTGGGTCAATATTACAGACATGACAATACCTTTTGCGTTTCTTTGTTCTTAAGGAGGTGCAGTGATTTGAAGTGAAAGATAGTGTAACAATTTCATTTCACATTTGTGTTAAATTGCAGAGCAAAAATCGATCTTCTGAGAAGGAATGACCGCTTTTTGCGTGAGTTAAAGAACCTAGATAATCGACGCATGTAAGTAAACGGAGAGCATTTAATTGAGCTACTTTAAGTGTGCTCAACATATCAGAGCTTATGGCAAATGGTATGCACTTGGATAGTATACTCTCTTGTTGGAGTTTTATAAAATCTTGTTGTTGTTGTGGTCGTTTTTTGATGAAGTTGGGGGTGGTTTTTTTGTTAGCCTGTTCGTGCCAACCTCTCAGATTGCTGGGACGTCGCGAAAACAAACTTTAAGCGAAAATAGGACGCGCGTGATGTGGGGAAGAGGACGGTGGCGGGAAAGAAGAAACCAACACCTCTCCCCAACCCCCCTCCCGCGTTTTTCGCATTAGTTTCTCACGATCTCTGCAAATTACTATCTTGGAGCCTGCAGCTGGCTATTTGTAACGCTTTTATTGTTATTTGTTTCAGTCGTGAGACGCACAAAGTAGCCCTACTTTACGTGGCCCAGGGTCAGGAAGACAAAACTTCTATTATGTCCAACTCTGTCGGTAGCGAAGAATATGAACGCTTCGTAGCAGGCCTAGCGTGGGAGGTACTGACAGTGTAACGTAGATAAACCCTCAAGTTAAAACACGCATGGGGAGTGGACAGCACGGTGGTCCGGTGGTCCAGTGGTCCTGAGATTCTGAATGCAAATCATTTTCTTTCTTTTAAGAAGCCAAAAAATAAATATAACTTTCGAGTGTACTTTTAAGAAACGTTAGTGGCAGGCGCTCAAACGCGCAGGGAAAAGAAGAGTTGTACTCGCGAGAAGCGCGTAGAGAACGTAAGCACAATAGAAGAGTCTCTGAAGTGAAGACACCACTCCCTTCTCTCGCGCGTCTTTCGCCCTTCCGCGCGCGGCTCAGCTTCCATTTCTGTTTTCCCGCGCCAAGCAAAGGCTTTGCCTCAGAAACAAGCTAAGCACTTTTACCTATTCTATCAGCAGTTTTCTTTGGGTCATTCTCAATAAAATTATTTACAATCTGTGTTTTTTATCAGGTGGATCTTTCCACGCACACAGGATTTCTTGGTGGATTGGAGAGAAATCTCTCGACTGGTACCACTGCCCCATATTACTGTAATTCAACTACTGAAGTGATGTTTCACGCGTCTACTAGGATGCCGTTAGCTACCGACAGCACCGGCTTCAACAAAAAGGTGAAACGTCCGTCCATTTAAACTATAGTAGTATATTGCCTTACTAATGTGACCGCACCCCATTCGAACTCATTAAAATAACCCTTTGGGGGGTTTATTATTGTACCTCCCTTCTGTTAAATTAAGCGCGGACTTTCAGTCATTGCGGAAAGTCGTTCGTTATTTAGAAAAAGTTCTCTTTGCTGCTGCATTTTTTGACAGCATTTTGTCGCTGAAGAGCGCTTATCTGTTATCGCACGTTTTCTGTAATAAGTTGCGTCTTTGCGGCACTCATTTCACGTCCCATGCGTCCGGTTTTTCTATCCGTTTATTGCATGTTTCCGTGCACCAAACGCACGTTCCTTAAGTTCTGCTCGTTCCTTGTACCACTTGAACCCTTTCTTGCGGGTCGTATGTCTCCTACACTATTCCCTACACCAAGCGTACACTTCCTGTACCAATATCATGTTTATCCGCTCCTGTCGCTGTGCGCGTCGAAATTGATCAGTATATGCCTCAATCGAGCTTACGATATTGTTGTTTCGTCAGGTCCGTCACCTTGGCAACGATGAAGTTCACATCGTGTGGTCAGAGCATTACAGAGATTACAGGCACGGCATCGTAAACACTGAGTTTGCGGATGTGATGATTGTGATTTACCCACTGGAGAACCGCCTGTTTAGAATTCAAATCATCAAGAAACCCCAGGTTGAAAAGCTATGCACGATAAATGGTTCGCCACTTTCGAAACGAGAAAAGAACTGGAGCCGAAATACGCCCGCAGTTGTTCCTGGGATCGTTACTGGGGGCGCGTCTAGTAACAATCCCAGAAGTCTTTGCGAAATTTCACTTGGCCAGGAGCCCATCATCGGCTCCTGACTTGGTCCTGTTTTCTTCGTTTTTAAAGTGGCGAGTTGCGATAACTTCGTAGAAAAATTTAAAAGAGAAAAGGAGAATTGAAAAAAGCTAAATAGAAATAAGTTAGGCTAGTACGACATTAAGGGATCTAGTCTGACGAATTAAGCAGAAAACATCTTAACAGTGGCAAATTTATCTTCTTTCTCAACTTAACTGATGTCAAAATAATAGCTAATTAATTCTTATTTCACTTTTGTGCGACAGCGTTGAGCTACGTATAAACGGACGCAAAAGCTCCCAACATTTTTGGGCTCAACATTGTCCCAACAATGTTGCAAATTGTTGCGTCCGTTTGCACGTAGCTAAAAATTAGATGGGTTTCAAACTTTAGGTAGCAACTACCAATAACACGGCCACATTTTAAAATCCCAAACAGTAGAATCTCTTATAATTTCACCCCGTTAATACGGCGAAATTTTTTTTATCCTTTGGTGACCATGTTAACGGGGTTCCACTGCAGTTAGCCTGTTTGTACCGTTGTGCTCCGAGATTCTTTCAAATATTCTTTCTCATTGGTCCCCGATTATTCGTATCTACAGTTAATTGCGATTGATGCATTACTTTTTCTTTTTTCCCGCTTCTTCCTAGGTCCCAACATTCGGACCCCTGTTTGATGGCGCCTTAGTGGACAGACAAGTTTTACCATCTCTCGTCAGGGCTACGGCCATCAATGCAAGCAAAGCAAGCCGGGAGCTTCTTCCGGTCTATGAGCGATAGTATCCTTTCTATAAGTAAACAGAGAGAGTGGGCGTCTTGCAGGTTATCTTTTTTTGTTGGGGGGAGGGGGCGGGAAGGGAAACGACGCGCCTGGCGAACGGGTAAGAACGCGTGCAGAGAACCGCCGGGTTGTAACATCTTGCGTTAGTAAGACAAAATGAATCCGGAACCAAACGCGAGAGCTGATGCGCAGACAAAAGAAAAGAAAGATAGGCTCAAGCCAAACGTTAAACTTTTCATAAGACGAACCAAACTTTGTGAGTTACGTTCATGAAAAGTTCGACGTTTGGCTCAGTTAAGTTCGTCTGAATGAGTTTTGATCGTCCAACACTTTCTGTCCGTCTGATTCGGGTGATTTAGTAACAACGGGAACGTCAGTTGACGACGGCGCGCGCAAATTAAACAACTGGCTTGACCAATGGCAGAGCGGCAAATTGGGCACCGGAAGTCGTGTTTAGTCCTTTCCGTGCGCTTTCCCGTCGTCAACTGACGTTCCCTTCCTGATGCTAAATCAGACTGATAGAACGTCTGAGAATCGTCTCCGAGACAAACGTCGAAAACGTCTCCGAGACAAACGTTGAATTCCTTATGAGTGGTAAGAAAAGGATCAAGGTCGCTGATAAAACATTCAGCTACTGAAGTAATTGTATTAGTCGCATAAAACAACCATAATTGGAGCTAGCGCAGCTATCATACGACCTTTTTGATCGCTGATATAATTGCATTTTGGCATCAAATATTATCTAGGGTGACTTATTCGTCATCTAGTCACTTTGAATGTTTTAAGTTTTCTCTTTACTAACCCAATAGCTACGAAGAACGCGAAAAATGTATTGAACGTATCGTCAAGAACCACAAGGAACCCACAACATTCGAGGACTACTCCTCGCTCGTGTTTTGCCCTGTGCCAAGGTCCCCTGGAAGTGAACCTCCCACTCCGCTGTTGTCAGCGGCTGAACGCTATCCTATGTTGCGCACGCAGACGGCACCCAGTAGCAGTTTCTCTGACAACGAAAAATCGTCCGTTCGATTTCGATCAAAAAGTTCGGTGACCTCTCCGAGGATATTGAGTAGCAAACTTGGTGAGTACTAAATTCATGCACTGTTGACGCCATCTGGCTCTTCCTTTGTGTGGTTGTAGATGTTTCGGCGTAATACCAGACTTGAGAAGGACAGCTGCTTGCTCACTACAAGTAATGTTACACGGGACGATTCGCAATGACGATTTTTAGCGCAGCAGAGATTTACAACGTCGTAGCGACATTGTTTCGAATAGTGGCAACATAGTTCCAACTTTGCAAAGGCATGTTGCGATAAAAGTTCGTGGTTGCGAACCGTCCTGTTTAACATCACCTTACATCACGCGGCAGCAAAATCCTGCTTTCAGTTCGCTTCCATCCCAGCGGCTACTCCGGGAATTTTGACCCTTAGTAATGACGGAGAGGGAAGCGAGGAGGGGAGAGGTTGATTACTTTGGGGCGCAATTTGTGTGATTTTGATTTTGGAGCGAAGTGTGCCGTTCTCAGAAGAACCCTGCTAAGAAGAACCCGTCACTTTAAACCTCCCTCTTGCTGGAAGAATTTTTAGTTTCCCTTGCCAGTTTGTGCCATCGGGCTTCTACCGTATTTGCAAGAGACTGTAATTCTATTTTGACAAAAGTTCCATTTCTCTCCAGCATTCAAAGAAGAAGACATGGCGTTAACGTCTTCACTCCCGGATGGATTAGACAATGTAGCGGAGGGAGCGCAGTCTGTTACGGATGGCAGTAATCCTCGTACAGATAAAAAGAGACTTTCCATTCGCTTGCGGAACAAACTGGCAAGTCTAAACGCCGCGCCTAGTGCCGACAGCGACTAAAGTTAATAGGAAAAGAGTATTTTATTAATAATTTCTGAGTTAATAATTCATTCTTCGAAGATTGATCACTGTTTGAGTGTTCAAACTAAAAAAGAAAGGTAAAACAAAATTTTGCTTCATTGTACTAAGGAGTAACATTTCTACCGTAACGGCTTTCATTAAAATCCGCATTTTCCTAATTAATTGATAATTCATGAAAGAAGACAAAGGTATTTGCTATGTCAAAGGAACGACAACATTAAAAGAAATAAGTGAATGAACTAACTAAAGATAATAATTTTTAAGTAGTTTTAATGCGCGGCGATCTTGCAGCTTGCTGTAGCTGCCGTCACTGCGAAGCTCTTCCCTTGCAGAGCTTTTAGAAATCTCTTACAACCTGATTTTTTCTTTCTTTGGACATTATCCATATCTTTGTTATCAATGCAGTACTAGACGCATTATATAGTACTCTTCCCTTTTGGCTCACGCCAAATAGCGAGATATTGTGTAGTCAATACGTGTTAAAAAATAAGGAGCCCAAGTACTGATGTCAGCGGTTTCTTCTTGGGAACGAGGTGGTGGGTCATTCTGCTCTGCGTCAACCTAACCTTGTTCACAATCCTCTATAAACAGACTAACATCTATTGTGTCTACTAGTTTGTATGTTTATCTGTTTCCATGTATCAGGCTATGTCCATTCTATGCTGGATAGCTTTTCGCGCCGACATCAAAAGCTATCTGGTACAGAATGAATGGCAACGGCACAGAACTGGAACAAATCGTTGAGGCGCTTAAAATATTGTACCAGAGCGGTTGGCCAAGAGGATTTGGTATGATGCACTAAATCCCAACCTCACTTGTGTATATTTACTTCCGCCTCAGTGTGGTCCAGTCCTCACTCCCACTCATTTACTTCCGATACGGTCCAATTAGGCCTTTTTCTCCAAAATTCTGCAAAGGCATTGTTTTCAATTTCGTCGCCCCAAGAGAAATTGAAAACAATGAGCGGCAACGGCCATTGAATAAGGCCTATACCTTTTCACACTGCGACGAAGCGGGTAGAAACCTATCCGATGTATGACCATCCACGTTCATTAGCGGCGCGGTGCAGCTTCGCTCCGTGACAGAAATCGCGCCAAAACCACCTTTCTTATCTATGAAAAGAAGCCCTTTCCGGTATTGTTTTCGTATCGGCGCAAGGGCTAACACACATAGTGCGAGCAAAGCCTCGGAAGATTTTAAAGATGCAAACAGCGCAAGTCAGGGCTCTCATCCGCCTTGAAATTCCTCGAAATTCGATCATTACTAACTTTATCCAACTGAGATTCTCAAGTACCTAATTTGAAGATAAAAGTTATTATCGTACTGTGAAAGAACAAGAGCTACTTTGTAAGTGGTAATTGTCTTAACTCAAGTCCAATTCCTAACTGCTAGTAAATGCGTGGCAACCTTTGTCTCGACACAATAAAAAAGATGTTTTTTTTTAGCTTGTGTAGCTGTGTAACATCATTTTTTATCCGCCAGTTTAACGAAAGAAATCCGCTTTGTAATAATTACGTTTACCATAGAGTGTTTATATTTTATAAGGAAAACAATTGTACATATGAGTGCCAAAGCAAATGATTTGGAAACCTTTCTCAAGTGTCACGTCGTAAATTATTGTAAAAAAATTCCATATCGCTAATGTAAAGGTGGAAGTGGTCACAAAATAAAATTAACGACCTCTGTATGTGTCTTCAATTTACTTAGCAAACGCTTTTTCTCACATGCATTGCGGAAGTCATCTTTTTTAATGGGAGCACGGGAAACTTCGTTTAGTTAAAATTCAACATGTCACAAAGTTTCTTGTTGTGTTCTGTGGTGGGTTAAAAAAATCGAGCTATTTTTATTTGGAGGTCAGAAATTCCAACCTCTCCGATTTTAGTTGCTACTTCTTACGCTTCCGATTTCAAAGAAACTAAAATTGAAAGGTCATGGTTAAATCACATTTTGCTTCATTCGTAATTAGTTCATAGAAAAGCCAGCGGATAAAATTATTACTTGAAACACGACATCCTTCGAATTCTACTGGGGCATGCGCATCGGAGTATCAACTATCAACTAACAACTGCAACTGCGCCAGCAGCGTGAAGGAAAACCTGTGTTGTTCGTGAGAGCCTAACCCCGGCCCCCTTTCCCTCTAACCCCTCCTCCAACACCTTTCCAGGGAATAGTAACTTATGTCCAAGGAAAACTTTACTTCCATTTGATTTAAGTTTCGTTTGTTCCCCTCTTTCGCCAAGATTCAAGATGGCGACTTCAATGGTGCCGTGAATAGACTGGAACTAGTACTGCTGAATCAATGTCAAAATTTATAAAATGAACAAGCATTTCTCCGGAAAATTGCCATCGAGAAAATAGAACTGACTACCTTTTCAAACAAACTTTAACTCGGACCAACTTTCCAAAGAAACGCCAGAGAAACGTATGTTCCATTTACATCTTACTGAAATTTCCGGCATTCCTTGGTAAGTAGAAAGCGCACGGTACTACCATTTTAGACTTTCCTTTGCCTTCGGAAATTTTCTACAGAAACGACCCGAAAAGTCGTGTGCCATCTTAAGGCTTTTAAACCCGAATTTGCGGAAACTTTTCGTAAACGGCTAAGATTTGTTTATTATGAAGTGGTTTCGGCTAGAATTTATCAAATCTAAAACGTTTCGCCATCACTATCTTTTAATTAAAGAACTAAGTAAACATGCCACAAAATCTTGATAAGATAATTCAGATTATGAATTAATTGTTCATCGACGCTTAGAAGCCTCTGGCAATTATTATTTGTTAGCAAAATAGATAGATATAATGGACACGTCAATTCATAACAGTCGGATGATCTGACAACTTCGTGGTTATCTGCTTAGAAAGGTCAAGGCTACGTTATATGCCATGAAAGCCGTTTGCAGTTGGACTAAATGGCCATGAAGAGCAAATATGCGAATGTATCTATTGAAGAAAACCTTTCATGGTCGGAGTTTGTTTTCAAAAACGTCGAGGAATATGGAAACACCACAGCGATTGTAAGTTTGTAAAGCTTAATATGTATTCATAAACTGTAAACCTGAAAATATTGCAACAGTTCCGCTTCATGAGTTGACGGAAGCTGCTAAGTTCGTTGTGCTTTACATTAAAACCACACGAATGAGCCAAAGTGCGATATATCTTTAGTCAGCTTTGATATTTAAAGTGGTATTTTCGAGTTTGGAGCTGTGGAAGTTGAATGAGTGAACATAGCAGACATAAGGCCTAATCCGATACATCAAACTGGTATCCCGTGCAACTTCCAGAACTTCAATTTGGTTCAGGGTAACCTACTACCTATATATATCTCGCCATGTTTTTGTAGTTTATACGTTATATCTTGGTTACTAACACATAGTTGGAAGACCGAACTGGGCATTGTAATAAGTTGAAGAACAATAGCCCCGCCAGATCGGGTTAAGGAAACAAACTAAGATTGCATGCAATCAGTGTTTCCTTTGTCATGCTCAAGCAACTGGAACGGAGATGCCAATATTGTAATTAGCACAGTTCTCGTTAGAATTGATTATCAATGGATAAGGTCGGCGCTTAAGAAACCAGTAACGCTTTCCATTTGTATGGAAAACCCGTTAATTGCGGGGATAATTCAATTGGAACGGTTCATCCCAGTGGACATTTTCCACAAAAAAGTAATACCCTTTGAGGTATTACCTTTTTCCCGTTTTTACCGAGAGGATGGAAATTCTTTATACCTTTTGTTTGATTAACCAGTGCCAGGCTTCCTCTTGAGGCGGAGGGTGATTTGTTTTAACCCAGGCCCACTCGTTAGCTGGTGTTTTGCAAATGATACAATTCTAACCCATTCCCCTTTTCGGAAACTTTTTCAAATCCGGTGCCATTTGTCAGAAATTTTTTACTGAAATTTGCTAACAAATGGTAAGCGCTCCATTTGTTCGTGAAAAATAATGCTGGCTTATATTAAAGGTATGGATTGAATTTTGTCTGCCAAAGTTTTGAATACATTCGACTCTTTCTTAACGGACACCTTTAAGACGTGACTGACACCATGTATTCCATTTATTTGACCCTCTATATGACGGACATTACTCTTAGACAGAGACTTGAGGCAGGTCCCAAAGGTGTCCCTCCAAGAGGGAATTTACTGTATGAGTAAAAGGGAAAACTGTTTAATTGTAGAGGACAGATCCACTCATGTTTTTCATAGAATCACTTCAATGCCTTTGTCATGTTCATGTTCATATCTTTGTTCTTTGTCGTATTGTTCATAGTGGATAATGTGTATAAAGGGTTTCGTTTATCGTTTGTCTCTCGATTGTCACTTTTAAAATGTCTTTGTTTGGAAAATACAGTAAATTCTCTCTTAGACGGACACCTTTGGTAGCGGCCAAAGGCGTCCGTCTAAGAGTAATGTCCGTCTTATAGAGGGTCAGATAAATGGAGTACAGAAAGGTAGGGTCCAAGTCTAGGTGTTTATTTTACCGAAGTGTCAGTTATGTAGAGGTGTCCGGTAAGAGAAGGTCGAATGTAATCGTAGTCTATAAATCTATTAGCTGATGATAATGTGGTTGTATTTTTTGTTCTTCAAAGGTGTGCGGATCCACAAAAATCTCCTACACTTTTTCTCAAGTAAGAGATCTAAGTAGGAAGTTTGGTTCGGCTCTAAGCAATAGAGGGATAATCAAAGGTGATGTGGTGGCGATCTTGGCTCCGAATGTTCCCGAGTTTGCCATTATATTCCTTGGTGTGCTTCAAATTGGTGGAGTTGTGACAGGTGTCAATCCACATTTCACGTGTCAAGAATTGACCAATCAGCTTAAGGAGTCCAATGCAAGGTGCATTGTTGCTAGTCACCAGTTGGCACACCGAGCCAAGGAGTCATCACGTGTTCTGAAAATAGATCACGTGTTTATTATCGGCGATGATGATGAATGTGAGTTGGTCTCAAACCTTCTCAAAGAAGATGACTCTCACTTGCCACTTGTGACTTTCAACCCGAGAGAAGACTTAGCCATTCTTCCGTTTTCCATTGGTATCAGTGGCCTACCCAAGGCTGTCATGATAACTCATTACAATTTAGTCTCGTTTGGTTCCTTGGTGAGCGCTGAAGAATTCATGGATTTTAGAGAAAATTCAAGGGTCTTCACAACCGCACCTTTCTACCAAGTCTTTGGTTCAATAGCTGTGTTGTCTCTTTGCCTGTTCCGTGGAGCCACCCTAATCTCCGTGCCAAGATTTGAATACAGCAAAGTTTTCCATCTCTTGCAAGACCATAAGGTGCGAAGTAGTATTGCAAATCGAATGCGTACATGGGTAGATGGACTTTCGACTATACCGCACACTTATTGCACTAAAGGATAGCAATCGTTATCTGAAAAAATAAACAGTATAAGCTGTTCTTGCGACCACTCTCTTAAGCGACAAGCTCAAGGTGCGACCAGAATTCCAATGTTTTGAAAATTGCACAAGTTTAGAATTCCTATGTTTGGAAAAAGGCGAAATTTAGAATTCCAATGTTTGGAAAAAGCCAAAATTTAGAATTCAAACGTTTGAAAAAGCTAAAATTTAGAATTCCAATGTTTGGAAAAGCTAAAATTTAGAATTCCAATGTTTAAAAAAGCTTAACTTTTAGAATTCCAATGTTTGGAAAAAGCCAAAATTTAGAATTCCAATGTTTGGAAAAGCTAAAATTTAGAATTCCAATGTTTGGAAAAGCTAAACTTCAGAATTCCAATGTTTGAAGAAAGGGGAAATTTAGAATTTCAATCTTTGAAAAAAGGCGAAATTTGAAATTCCAATGTTTGGGAAAAGCAAAAATTTAGCATTCGAATCGTTCGAAAAAGGCGAAATTTATAATTCCAGTGTTTGGAAAAGGCAAAATTTGGAATTCCAATAATTGGAAAAAGCCAAAATTTTGAATTCGAATGTGTGGAAATACCAAAATGTAGAATACAGATGTTTGGGAATTGCCGACATTTACAATTCCAATGTTTCGAAAAAGCCAAAATTTAGAATTCCAATGTTTGGAAAAAAGAGCAAATTTAGATTTTTAATGTTTGGAAAAAGGCGAAATTTAGAAGTCCAATGTTTGGAAAAAGTCCAAACTTAGAATTCCAATGTTTGGAAAAAGCCAAAATTTAGAATTCCAATGTTTGGAAAAGGCAAATTTTGGAATTCCAGTAATTGGAAAAAGCCAAAATTTTGAATTCAAATGTGTGGAAACACTAAAATGTAGAATACAGATGTTTGGAAATTACTAAAATTTACAATTCCAATGTTTCGAAAAAGCCAAAATTTAGAATTCCGATCTTTGGAAAGAGCCAAAATGTGGAATTCCAATCTTTGAAAAACGCCAAAGTGTAAAATTGCAAAGTTTAAAAAAGGCAAAATTTGGGATTCCAATGTTTGGAAAAAGGAAAATTTTAGAATTCCAATGTTTGGAAAAGTTGAAATTTAAAAGTCCAATGCTTGGAAAAAGGCCAAATTTAGAATTCCAGTGTTTAGAAAAAGTCAAAATTTAGAATTTCAATGTTTGGAAAAAGCCAAAAGTTAGAATTTCAATGTTTGGAAAAGCCAAAGTTTAGATTTCCAATGTTTGGAAAAGGTAAAATTTAAAATTCCAATGACTGGAAAAAGCCGAAATTTAGAATTCCAATGTTTGGAAAAGTTAAATTTTTGAATTCTAATGTTTGGAAAAGCCAGATTTTAGAATTCCAATATTTGGAAAATTTAACATTTAGAATTCCAATGTTTAGGAAAAGCCAAAATTTAGAATACCAATATTTGGAAAAGACAAAACTTAGAATTGGAATCCTTTTAAAAAGCCAAAATTTAGAATTTCAATGTTTGGAAAAAGCCAAAGGTTAGAATTTAAATGTTTGGAAAAGCCAAAATTTAGAATTCCAATGTTTGGAAAAAGGCGAAATTTAGAATTCCAATGTTTGGAAAAAGCCAAAATTTAGAATTCTAATGTGTGGAAAAGCCAAAATTTAGACTCCCAATCTTTGGAAAAAGGCAAAATTTAAAATTCCAACGTTTGGAAAAAGCCAAAGGTTAGAATTTCAATGTTTGGAAAAGCCAAAATTTAGAATTCCAATGTTGGGAAAAAACCAAAATTTAAAATTCCAATGTTTGGAAAAGCCAAAATTTATAATTCCAATGTTTGCAAAAAGGCGAAATTTAGAATTCCAATGTTTGGAAAAAGCCAAAATTTAGAATTCTAATGTGTGGAAAAGCCAAAATTTAGAATTCCAATCTTTGGATAAAGACAAAATTTAAAATTTCAACTTTTGGAAAAAATCAAAAATTTAGAATTCAAGTCTTTCGAAAAAGGCCAAATTTAAAATTCCGGTGTTTACAAAAATGCGAAATTTAGAATACCAATGTTTGGAAAAAGGAGAAATTTAGAATTTAAATGTTTGGAATAAGCGAAAATTTAGAATTCCAATGTTTCGAAATGGCCAAAATTTGGAATTCCAATGTTTAAAAAAGCCAAAAATTTAGAATTCCAATGTATGGAAAAGGGAAAATTTAGAATTGCAATAATTGGAAAAAGAAAACATTTTGAATTCCAATGTGTGGAATTGCCAAAATGTAGAATACAGATGTTTGGAAACTGTCGAAATTTAAAATTCCACTGTTTCGAAAAAGCCAAAATTTAGAATTCCAATCTTTGGAAAACGCCAAAATCAAAATTGCAAATTTTGGAAAAGGCAAAATTTGGGATTCCTATGTTTGGAAAAAGCAAAAATTTAGATTCGCAATGTTTGGAAAAGTCAAAATTTTGAATTCAGACGTTTGGAAAAGACAAATTTAAAATTCCAATCTTTGGAAAAAGCCTAAATTTAAAATTCCAACCTTTGGAAAAAGCCCAAATTTAGAATACCAATGTTTGGAAAAAGTCAAAATTTGGGATTCCAATAGTTGAAAAAACCCAAAATTCAGAATTCCTTATGTTTGGAAAAGCCAAAGTTTAGAATTTTAATGTTTGGAAAGGGCAAAATTTGGGATTCCAATGTTTGGACAAAGCAAAAATGTAGAATTCCAAAGTTTGGAATAGCCTAAGTTTAGAATTCCAATGTTTGGAAAAGCCAAAGTTTAGAATTCCAATGTTTTTAAATAGCAAAATTTAGAATTTTTAATTAATGTTTGAAAAAGATCAAAATTTAAAATTCCAATGTTTGGAAAAGCTAAAATTTAGAATTCCAATGATTGAAAAGAGCAAAAATTTAGAATTCTAATGTTTGGAAAAAACAAAATTTAGAATTCCAGTGGTTGGAAAAAGTGGACATTTAGGATTCGAATGTTCGGAAAAAGCCAAAATTTAGGATTCGAGTGTTTGGAAAAGCCAAAGTTTAGAATTCCAGTGTTTGGAAAAGACAAAATTTAGAATTCCATTGTTTGGAAAAAACCAGAATTTAGAATTCCAATGTGTTGAAAAGCTTAAGTTTAGAATGGCAATGTTCAGAAAAGCTAACATTTACAATTCAAATGTTTGGAAAAAGTTAATATTTGGAATTCCAATGTTTGGAAAAAAGAAAATTTAGAATTCCAATGTTTGGAAAAAGGGGAAATTTAGAATTGGAATGTTTGAAAAAAGGCGAAATGTAGAATTTCAATGTTTGGAAAAGGCCTAAATTTAGAATGAAGGCGAAATTTAGAATTTCAATGTTTGGAAAAAGCCAAAATTTTAAATTCTGGCTTTTCCAAACTTTGAAATTCTAAATTTTGTAAGAAATTAAGGGTAAACGAGACGAAATTAAGTGTACACAAGTCAAGGATTCATTTATGAGTACTGAGTCACATTACTTTAACCGTTACCTAGTCCCTAGTCCTACCTCTAAAGAAAACCCAAAACCTAACCATGACCTCTAATCTGGTTCGCAACTTGACTTGTAACTCTTAGTGAGTCATAATTTTGAGAAAACAAGATTTCTCCTTCGTTTGAACTGTAGCGACTGTTCGAGCGTCCAAGATTTAAGCTTCTTACATTGGTTTGCAGGTGACTCATCTTGTAACAGAGGCGTCAACAGTGCATGCGATATCTAAACATCCAACGGTCGACAATCACGACTTGACCTCACTAACCCAGATAATATCAAGTTCTTCTTCGTTAAGCAAGGAGACGTCAAGAAATGTGATCAAACGTATACCTCGATTGAAAAGAATCAGTCAATGTGAGTGAACCCTGTATACACTGGCAGATACAGGGGAGGGGCCCGGGAGGCCCGCCCCCCCTTGTGTTTAGACCAAACTGAGGCCCGAGGGGCCGAAAAAGTTTTTTTTGTGACCGCCCCCCTCCTCCTCCTTATCTGGAGGTCTGGATGCGCCACTGGTATGAACACATGACATTATCACTATCCCTGTCGTCCCTTTATTGTCCTTACTTCTTGTTGCTATTTCCTTCGCCTTCCTTCGCTTCGCTTCCTCTCCTTTTCCAGTGACAGTCTTTCCATCGTGTCTTTTTTTTGTTCATTTTACTCTCAATATAATTCAATATAATTTAAGAACAGTGGAGGCGTGTGTGGCCGAGCAGTCAACACCTCGAACTCTGGTCGGGGGTTCAAGCCTCGCCCATCGCGTTGTTTCCTTAGACAAGGAAGTTTACTCCACTTTGTCTCTCTTCACCCAGGTGTATAAATGGATGTCGGCGACATACGGCTTGGGGGTAACCCTGCGATGGGCTAGCATGCCGTCCAGGGGGGAGTAGCAATACTCCTAGGCTTGCTTTCTGCTACGGAAACCGGAAAAAGGCTCCGGCCGTGTAGGCCTTTGGCTCGAGTGAGCCTTTACCTTTTTTTCATAATTTAAGAACACACTGGGCAAAGGTCGTCCGGTTTGCCAACAGATTTGTTCCTGAAAATCTGTTTGATGATTATACGTTTTGCTTTGTTGAGCATCTGAATTGGATACGTTCTCGAAATTAGTTTAATTACAACCTCTAAAAATAACTTTAGTGAAATTCAGATATCCCGGCCAACGCAAACGCCCGAAGAATCCCTCTCTGTCGCATTATTCTCTGTTAATCCGACTTAGATAAATAAACTCAAAACAAGGCTCATCTCCGTAAACTATATACTACTCATGCACATGTGCAAGCGACGAAGTGAAGAGGAATGTAGCGCTGAAACTGATCGTTATGTTCAGCAGGCTACAGCATGACAGAATGCACTTCTATTAGTCACATGACCTCGCCAATGGATGCAAAAGACGGATCAGTAGGGGTTCTTCTTCCAAACCTTGAGTGTAAGGTAAAGAAATGATATGCTTATAAAGTAACATGACAGAAATAGATGGGAGATGAAGGTGGCGGCTATTTGGAATTGTGAAGACTTTATTACCGTGTTTTAAATTCGCCATTAATAGCGCTGTGCACAGATTCTAAAAATAGTCTACGTCTGATAAGACCCCCAGCAAGACTCAGACAAACTTTGCTTCTCACTCAAAGGCTTTGTATGCGCGTTTACTGAGTGTTGAGGCAAAATAAGGTAAACAACAAGTGTTACAGCTGGGAAGAATGTGAGAGGGACCCAAGGATCCCTGAAGAAGTGGTCTGAGTCACTAAATAAATGCGAGAAATCCGGAAGGGAAGCGACGTACACTGTGTTTTGTGGCAGTGACCAGGCAGCCGGGAAATGTTTTAAAAGTGTTAGATACGTGATAGTCTTAAATTTATTCCATTTTCACGAATTCTCCGATTGAATTCTTCTAAAAACATAAAATGCTTCTGTAGAAATCTCAAGCGATTTCAAGTATTGCACTTGGTTTCACGTTTTTGTGACGTCATCTGTACGCAGCGCTATTCGCAATTAATTTGTCATGCAATAAAACCACTTAGTCTCAGACTCGCCGCTAAAAAGAATTCAGTTTTCTTTACCCTTGGCTTCATTCTCATTGAATTTTACTACCTCTTTGGAACCTTGAATAAATAGAAAAAAAAATAGAAAACTGATCGGGTCTGAATCGGGTCAAATTGTCATAAAGGGAACGCAGATGTTTGTGATATCTTTCTTCCGGATAATTTTCTATTTAAGGTGTGTGATGTAACTACAGGTCAAACACTGGATCGCGGACAATGCGGTGAAATTTGTGTCAGAGGGCCGACGGTAATGAAAGGTGAGTTCTATTGTACTGTCCTACAGGCACTAACGCAATAACTCTCTTAAAACACGCCAGCAAAGTTCAGGTCCCGGTTGTTTATAAGCGGATAGCATTATTCACCGAATAAATAACTATCCAGACTATTAAAGAAACCAATGACGCTTTCCACTGGATAGATATTTTCTCAGTGAATAGCGTTATCCACCTTTGGAACAAATCGACTCACTTGCTGTGGGCTAACCTTCTTAAAAAGACCGAGGAGTTGACCTCCATCTAGCGCCCAGGCGAGGTTTCAATTTTAGCCCCTCCTTTTTGGCCGTTTTGAAGGTCAAGCGTGAGACTGAGTCGGTGTTGTGTCGAATTACACTATGGGACCGTTTTAGAGACGTCATCTCCTCTTTTATTGGCTGTTACGAGGTTGCGCAGGAAACTGGGTCGAAATTCCTTCCCCCAAACAGTCCCATAGTGCAATTCGATACGACACGGACCCAGTCGCCAGCTCATCTTCCAAAATATAGCCAATAGCAATTTTGCCTCCTTTCCCATGCAAGGCGACTGGACAGTTCTTACGACAACAACCGGATGGTTCAGGGAATAAATAAAACACGGCTGTGCATATAACTGGATCTTCTAGCAATCATTTGAACCAATTAATCATTTCTTTTAGATAATCTAATACAGAATAGCGGATTTAAGACTGAAGGTTTCAATTTATTTGGAACCTAGTTTTTTTGATGTTTTAAGATTTACTGGCGCATGTGTTCTGCGGACTTGTAAAATAATTAAGATATTATCAATATAGAATTCATTCTGTACCTCTCACGCGCCCGGGTTTTCTTATTTTCTTCATTTTTCTTTATCTCTTGGTTGCCTTCAGGTTATTTGAAAAGCAAAGAGGCTACTGATCTTATGATCGATACAGAAGGCTGGCTTCACACGGGTGATTTGGGATACTACGACCGAGACGAACATTTTTTCATCGTCGACAAAATAAAAGATCTTATCAAAGTCAGAGGGCACCAGGTGGGTCTTAACTTTCTTACACAGACCCTCGACAAGAAAATAGAACGCGCAAGCTTTCACTAGTTTACAGCGGTAGAAATCTAAAAACTTGCACTCTGCGGGTCGTAGAATAAATTTTAAGTAGTATATGTATACTAATGAAAAATAGTATAAAAAACGTCACAATTCCCCACTCCGGAAACCATAAGGGAAATGGCTACAAGCTTTCGGCGCAACGATTTCTGGAATCATTTGGCTGGACAAGCAGTCCTTGTGATTGGTTAATGGTTGCCTTGAGTACCATCAACCAATCTTAACTATTGCTTGTCCACCCAAACAATCCCAGAAATGGTTGCGCCGAAAGCTTGTACTCATTTTCCTTATAGTTTCTGAAGAGGGGAATTGGACAGAATGTGCTGCTTTCCGAAGGGTCATCTTGCGACGAGTTTGAGAGCAACTGTGCATTGCCCAGTGGTGAGAAAGCTCGCGCGGCCTGCCGATGTGACGAAGGTTCAAATACCGAAGGCGTGGTCATATGTGGGTTGAGTTCGTTAGTGGTTCTCGTCTTTGCTCTAAAAGGTTTTTCTATAGGTGCGCTAGTTTCCCTTCTCTTTCAAAATCAGCAACTCCACATTCCAACTCGATTAAGAATGTGGTAAAAGAAGAACCAGTCCATATTCCGGCTCCATCAGAGAGATATGGTGTACGAAGAACTAGTAAGTAGGGTTGCTACTTCTGAATTATCATTACGGTATAACATTATTTATTTATTAATATTATATTTATTATATTTTTTCCCTGTATTTCACCCAGGTTTCCCCATCAGAACTCGAGGTTCTCCTCAGGGCCCACCCGGCCATTGAAGATGCAGCGGTTGTTGGAGTCTCAGACCCCCAGATTGGAGAACTACCAATGGCATATGTTGTAAGCAAAAATGAGGACGAACTTACTGAAATGGAAATAATGCAATATGTGGACGAAAACGTTGCACCTCACAAGAGGCTGCAAGGTGGAGTGGATTTTATCTCTACCATTCCAAAAGCTGTGAATGGTGAAATACTTCGAGCTGAATTGAGAGAGCTGTACAAAAGCAACAAGTCGAAAATGCAGGCACGAAGAGGATCGTTGCCTTGGAATGAGGAAAAACGTTGGTCTTCAAAGAGACACTCTATAATGGGTCCTAGCTCAAGAGCACAGCATCGTGGTACAGTTTCAGAAGAAATACCCAGAAATGTGGCCCGATCACAAAGTTGTGCACTTCTGTAAATAAAATGTTTTGTCTTCGTAATCTATGAGCGACACATTAAAAACAGACTTTATAAATAGTTCT